CACAGCACACTGGTTTGTGAGGAAAGCAACCGAATAGTTAAAATATTTAAAACAAAGACCCTCATAAAAACCTCAAGAGACTATCTTGATTCACCTTTTTCCAGTTATCTTTCTGAGCCCTCCATACATGTAGCCTGAGAGGGTGATGAGAACATAAGTGTCCCAAGCAGTAATTAACTAGCAATTTCTCCAGATTAAACAAACCCAAAAGTCTACCTCCCAAACTGCCTAAAACCACCTGGACCCCAAAATGAAAGAGGAATGGCCCTGGCTGGGATGTCATAGTGCAGCGGTTCTCAACCTGTGGGTCGCGACCATCGGAAAACACATATAGCATATCAGATATTTATTTATTTATTTATTTTTAAATATATTTTGTTGATTTTTTACAGAGAGGAAGGAAGAGGGATGGAGAGTTAGAAACATCGATGAGAGAGAAACATCGATCAGCTGCCTCCTGCACACTCCCTACTGGGGATGTGCCTGCAACCAAGGTACATGCCCTTGACAGGAAATCGAACCCGGGACCCTTCAGTCCGCAGGCCGACACTCTATCCACTGAGCCAAACCAGCCAGGGCAGCATATCAGATATTTACATTACGATTCATAACAGTAGCAAAATTACAGTTATGAAGTAGCAACGAAAATAATTTTATGGTTGCAGGTCACCACAACATGAGGAACTGTGTTAAAGGGTTGAGAACCACTGTGAGCATCAGCCCACGCACCAAAGGGTCACAGGTTCGGGTCCTGGCCTCTGTCAGGGTGTGTGCAGGAAGCAACTGATTGATGTGTTTCTTTCACATCAATGTTTCTCTCTTTCTCTCCATCTTCCCTCCCTCCCTCCCTCCCTCCCTCCTCCCTCCCTCCCTCCCTCCCTCCCTCCCTCCTCCCCTCCCTCCCTCCCTCCCTCCCTCCCTCCTTCCCTCCCTCCCTAAAAATCAATGGAAAAAAATCGTGTCAGGATTAACAAACAACAAAAATATTAAAGAGGACTGGATTACAAACTAAAACCTAGAGGAAGACAATTTTTTCTAAAATCTTGTTCTATACATGCCAGTGAATACGATTCATAAATTACTTCTAGAAAAGCTAGATCTGCAAAAGCAGTCTTTAAAAGTGCATAGCCAAAAAATTAATGAAAAGTTAACATATTTTGCCTAATGAAAGGGTTTAATATCTTGATACATTTTACCCAGAACACTGTATGAATGACACAAAAGGTTATTTCAAGTACTCAGTCTTTCTAAAATACGTATATAGTAATAATAAAGTGGCTTTTACTTTGGTAAATGCTTTATTACTTCAGAACTTGTAACCACTGATAGTCGAGGGTACCAACACACCACCACAATGCCTGAGTCACTGGAAGATATATCTCTGTGGGTGGCCATGGGTCCTGTCACTGTAGTCAGTATTCTTTCTCAGGACCTGGAGTACAGCCCTCTCTGTGCCCCCTGCCCCAGGAATGCCAGCCATGACTACTCAATGCACACTAGTTAAATGAATGAACCAAATTTCCTTAGTTCAGTTTTAAATGAAGTATTCCATTCTAATGGAAACATTTTAGAACCTATCTGAACTGTAATAATTTGGTTATCTATACATATAAAAAGCCTAAGCAACCGGCCAACTGGCAGGTAGCTATGTCGCGTACTGACCACCAGGGGGCAGACGCTCAATGCCAAGAGCAGAAACCACCCGCATGGAAACATGGAACAGACTGATGAATCTCAGAGGGAAGTGGGGAGGGGGAGTGGCGAGGGTGGAAAGAGAATAACCAAAGATCTTATATGCATATTAGAGGCCTGGTGCATGGATTTGTGCACTGGTGGGGTCCCTCAGCCTGGCCTGCAGGTATTAGGCTGAAACTGGCTCTCTGAGATCCCGAGGGGTCCCGGATTGTGAGAGGACACAGGCCAGGCTGTGGGACCCCACCAGTGCACGAATCCATGTACAGGGTCTCTAGTTAAATATAAGAAACTGGTGGTTGCCAAAGGCAGGGGTGGGAGTGGGTAAAATGGGTGAAGGTCACAAGGTAAGTACATGCTTCCAGTTATAAAATCAGTCATGGAGGTGTAATGTATAGCATGGTGGCTATAGTTAATAATGCTTTGTTGCATATTTGAAAGTGTATGAGAGCAAATTTTTAAAGTCCTTATCACAAGATTTAAAAAAATTTTTGTTGCTCAGCCAGTGTGGCTCAGTGACTGAATGCCAACCTATGAACCAGGAGATCATGGCTCAATTTCAAGTAGGGGGCATGCAGGAGGCAGCTGATTGATAATTCTCTCCCTTCCTCTCTGAAATCAATAAAAATGTATTTTTTTTAAAAAAATTGTTAACTATATATAATGACAAATGTTAACTAGACTTGTGATCATTTCAAAACACATACAATATCAAATCATCATGTTGTACACCTGGAAATAATGCTGTCAATTACACTTCAATTAAAAAGTTTTAATAAAAAATAAGCAAGTGTTCTACAATAGCTTTTCACTAATCTATTTTCAAAAAAATTCAATCCCATTTTTAGCACTGCCCCAGAGTTACCTGGATCTTTCTATTTATTGTATTTAATCAATATCTAAAGCCTAAATCTTGCCCTGGCTAGGTAGCTCAATTGGTTATAGTCCTGATAATCCAAGGTTGTGGGGTTTGATCTCCAGTCAGGGCACACACACGAGTCAACCAATTAATGCTTAAATGAGTGGAGCAACAAATCAATGTTTCTTTCTCTCTTTCTTTCTAAAATCAATAAATTTAAAAATTAAAGTCTAAATCTTGATGTACTAAGTACTTACCTGTGGTTTTTTTAAAAATAATTATTGTTGAAAGTATTACATATGTCCCCTTTCTTCCCCTATTTCTGTGATTTTTAAACTTTTCCTTCCAAGGGAATTAAAAGTGATTTAAGACTGCCAAATCCAATCCCTGCCTCTATAATGTTCCATATTTTTCAAAGAAAAAAAAAATGCCTCTCCATTTGTCCTTATTGAAACATTAAAGGCAGAAAAAAATATCCAGCATTTGATTAACATCATCCAAGTGTCATTCACTTACCTTCATTTATTTCTCAGAACCATGCTATGTGAAATAGGTCTTTTGAAAGTGAAAAACCATGGGTCAATAGTTAGGCAAAAGTATTGAAGATCAAACCCCTAAGGGACAAAGATGCATTCAAATACAGCAAGGTTTGGCCTCTCTGTGCTTATCTCTAATACAACTGTTCACACGAAAACTAAATAAATATAAAGAAATCTGGTATTAGCAACTATGTTCTATTCAATCTTCACTCCCATAACTTAATTTTCATTATTAGCTTTAATTAATTAAAACAGAAATAAAAAATTAGTAGTTTTATGTAAGCAAAGATTCTTTTAAACTACTTTTATTATCACTGAATTATTATCAAGTACTTTAAAATTATTTCATATAGTGTATTTTTTGTTTATTGTTTGTCTAAATAAATCTTACCAAATTTTAGCACTCAAGATTTTTAAATGTTTTGGAGTTTTGCTGGAAAGTAAATGCCTATTTGTAGGCACTAATATGCAAAAAGTTCATTTTCATGTATGATCATGTACAATCTGCATTGCTCTAACAAACAGCCCCTTACAATGGCAATTCACTGTAAGAACACTTTAAGTTTGACACAAAGTTCTCAATAGTTTATCAAATAATAAAAAAACAACTTGTTTTACTTACAACAAATGCCACATATATTCTTAGATGCTGCAGTGGTTACTCAAAGCTTCCTTGTGGCAGCTTCATAGAGGATGTAGAACAACTATGGAGAGACACTAATTCTCTGCAATATATGGGTAAAGTGACTCATGTCTCACTTAGATATAGAAATCCCATTGACCCTTTCAATAAACGGGCAGATAAGGACACAGATTATCATGCAAAAAGTTAGTCTAAACCAAGTCAGCAAACTCAGGGCCAGAAAATAAAAGTATTTTCTGCTTTGTGGTCATATGACCTTTCTGTCACAGCCACTCAACTCTGCCATTGTACAAAAACAGCCACAGACAATGTGTAAGTGAATGAGCATGGCTGTGTGCCAATAAAACTTTATTTATGGACACTAAAATTTGAATTTCATATAATTTTCATGTGTCACAAAATAGAATTCTTTTGATTTTTTTTTAACCATTTAACAATGTAAAGATCATTCTTGGCTCACAGACATACAAAAACGGGTGGAGGGCTGGATTTGGCCTGTGGGCAATACTTTTCCAACTCCTGGTCTTGATATATACTCTTTTGACATTTATTTGCCAGCAATTATGTAACTTCTACTTCATTAATAAGTGAGAACAATAATACAAAATTTTGCTTAAGGCTTTGTCTAAACTGCTGGTGTACCAATTTTTAAGATAAAAATTTAAAAATCACTTATGTCAAAATTAAATATACTGCTAGAGGAACTAGCTAAATTTCATTTATTTCTTGATGTCACTTCTATACAGCTCTCATGCACATAGCAGGGAACACACCTTCATTTCACAATGGCATCTGGCTGCACTTCTGATTATAATACAGCAAGTGCAAGTTCACTTGGAAATGTACATTTATATACCCTATATAAATTAAATACGCTACACTAGGATGTGTAATAGCAAAAGCATGATTTTGAAATTCCATGACTAGACCACTTCTACTTGGCTTAATAAAAAATGTACCCAATCATTTAAATCTGGCCATTTGGGGTAACATGACAGAATATAAAATGTTTGTCATGTAAAATGACAATTTACCTTTTGATAAAATAATCTTTAAACTTGAAACCTTTTTATTGAATTGTTATATGGATATATATTATGATAGCAAGAAGATTTAGCAACTTGGCTAATTTTTTAAAAATTTGTTCCTGAAGTAACATTATTCTTGTTAAAATAAAACAGTAGCTAAATGAATCTTTTCTTTTTACATTTAATGTGTTAGGTTGCTTCCAAATCAACTTCCCAGCCAAAAAAAAGAAACAACAGTCTGAGACTCACTTGAGTGTTTAATTCAAACCTATATTTGTAAGCTTCTAAAATGTTGATCCACAGACCACTTTCGTTACACGTGTACCAATGAAAACAAAAGGCAGAGAATCACTGCCATCCCTACAAAAGGAATGGCTCCTTTTCTAACATTCTTTAAAAATATACATTGTACAGTCTTTGCGCCTCACCAAAGGTGGCAATGTAATAAATACACTGGCTTAGTTCTCCTCCCTGTTCAGCAAGGTCCACCAACTACCTGTTATAAGCCCTCTCCTTTTTGGATTTCTCCAGGGCTTTGTCCATTGTTTTCTCGTTCTCCCCCCGACACTTGGGACAGTACCACTTGCCCTTTGGTTTATGATTCAGTCCTACACAGGAGAAGTGGAACCACTCGATGGGGCACTCGTCATTGTCACAGCCGATCATTTCTCCATAGGAGACCTGATTGCACAGACAGTACGTGGGCTCGTTCGGGTCGATGGGAAGGTCTGCAGGGGATGCTTCCCTCTCTGCTTTGGCCTTGGAGCGTTTCTTCTTCTTGGACGCCTTTGCTTTCTTCTCCTTAGGCGTTCCTGAGGTGATGTCATCATGATCGTGATTATTGGCTGCATTCTCCCGATTTTCATTATTGCGCTGTCTCCGAGACCTCTTGTTATTGGGCTTTTCTGCCTGTGTGATTGTCTCGTTCTTGGACTTATCCTGGCCGGCTTTGCCACTGTGGCCAGTGGTGTCGTTGACCTCTTGGTGTGCCTCAAAGAGTTCCACGTGACTGTCCACCTGCCTGGTCCTGTTCTCCACCAGCTCCACCATCTGACTCACAATCTGGATCTTCTCGTCGCCCAGCTCCTGGCTGCGGATCAGGGCTCTCTGAATGCAGTGCAACGCTCTCCTCTTCTGGTTGCTGTCCGTCTCCCGCTTAAACTTCTCGTAATACTCATCTAGCTCCTTCAGGATTTCTGCAAAGGAAAAAGTAAGCATTACACCCACACTATAACATTATCAAGCTTTTTATTTAATTCTCTAGTCTACGAAAATGTAATTGCAAAGCACAGAAATAATCAATGCAAGGCTTCTTAGTATGAAAAATCTTATAACTTGTATACCCTCTCAGCAGATCTTTTCTTTTTCCTGTTGAAAAAAATCCCTGGAACTAAATACAAATGTCAACACAGTTCTCATTTAGCATAGTGCCAAAGTTCTCCAAGGGATTCTGTGTGTGTGCAGAAGCGTAAGTAACAAATACTCCTGGGATGGGCAATTAGGGGGAAAGTTCACATTTAGATGAAGCGCTGGGGTCCAAATTTTTATTTTCAATAAAATTTGTGACTATGTTCTATATTTCCATTGTTTTTATTCAAATATTTTCTAATAATTAAAGGCCTTTATTCCTTTTATTTTATGTACTAATGTCCACAATACCCTATGAGATTACAGCATGTATATAATATTACTTATGCCCTTGCTGGTGTTCAGTAGTTAAGAGTGTCGGCCAAAATACTGAAAGGTCTTGGGTTCAATTCCTGGTCAAGGGCATGTACCTGGGTGGCAGGTTCCATCCCTGGCCCAGGTTGGGGCTCAGGCCAGAGGCAACCAATCAATGTGTCTCTCTCATATCAATATTTCTATCTCTCTCTCCTACTCCCTCCCCCCTTCCACACTCTCTAAAAAGCAACAGAAAAATATCCCCAGGTGAGGATTTATATAATAAATAAAAATAAATGTTACTTATAATCCAGAGCTTCAATTTATCAGTCGCATCACTTTCATCCTAGCATGTATTACTGAAAACAAGAAAGGTTTGACAATCTGGCCTTGCTGATTTTGCTTTTGCATTTACTGCTTAAATAATAATACGTTTATAGCTACAGATTGTAAAACATAACTAAAATAAATTAAAAATAAATGTAAATCTTCTCAGACAGGTAGGAAGACAGTATAAGTGAATTTAAAATGTAACTAGGCAATTTCTCAAGAAATAAAAGCTGTTAAAAAATCTGACTGAAATAAGGAAAATAAACATTCTTGCCAAAAGCCTAAATACACAGGTAGAAATTTCCAGTTATTTCCCCAAATAGTACAGTTAGATAGTATCAGACTTTTCTCCTGAAAACCTTTTTCAGGCTCTCAAAACCAGGGAATCCTACTCTCCATTATGAAGTGTGTATGTGGAGATGTGGGGAGAAAATGTGTAAAATGTGGCTATCGCCCAGGTTTAATTTCCAAATAGTTATAAGGGATAAATCTAAAATTAGGGTAAACATATGAACTTAGGCAAACACTGAAGTTTACCTAAACTGTAAGTATTATTTTCCAGGCTATATTCTTAAACAAAATATCACTGAAGATATTTTAGAGAAACAATGTAGACCAGTGGCTCTCAACCTTCCTAATGCCGGGACCCTTTAATACAGTTCCTCATGTTGTGGTGACCCCCAATTTCATTGTTACAAATTGAACATAATTAAGGCATAGTAATTAATCACAAAAACAACATGTAATTATATATGTTTTCCGATGGTCTTAGGTGCCCCCTGTGAAAGGGTTGTTCGAAGACAGTCTCTCACCAGGAAGGAGGAATGCCACAGCCTTACAGTCTCTTATAGTAATTAATTCTGAAAATAAATAGCTATGCCCCACTTAATCCAAGTTCTATTTCATCTTAAAATGAGTTTCTGCCATTTATTTTTAAACAAACTGCACATTACAAAACTATCATTTGGCTTAATAAGTAGCCAAATTTCTAGAGACAGTTTTAACATTTCATAGAAAAGAGGACAATTCTACCATATGGTTAATTTAAAATTTTAATAAATACAGCTTCTTTTATATCACAAGCAAGCTTACATTCATGTGAAGCCTCTCTTGTAGGAAAGAAACAAACATCACAACATTAGCAATAAGTAATTGTTACCTTCATAATGGTATGTATTTCTTGGATGCCCCAAGCAAAGTACTCTATTAACAAAGCCGTGCAAGTACACATGTCTGTCAGGAGGAACACCAGCGCTAACCAGGGAGGCATCTGGCCAGGAAACCCGTTTCTTCAGCCCCATCAGCGCAAACGGCTGCTGACCCCTCTCATCTAGAAATGCTCCACAGCAACATTACTGTGGGAAAGCAATGGCACTACGAAAGAAATGTTAAGGTTTAAATAAGAATTCAGCAAAATTTAATCTGACCTTTCCAATGATCAGAAATGTATTTTAATTTTTACATAAGGTTTGCACTTAAGTTCTTTATGAAGCTGACTTCCCATGGTGGGTGGTTGGGCGGGATTTAAAAAATAAAGCTTGAAAAATAATTCAAAAATAATTTTGAATCCAATAATTCAAGAATAACCTCAAAGGCCATTTAAAATTGGCAGATTATAATCCATCCTTATGAATTAATCTCCAACTGATGCACACTAAGCAAAAGACTGTTAAGCAACTTTGACTTGCAACACAGGTCTTTATTAATTTTTTAGAACTATGCTGCATTTATAGTAAGTGCCAACCCAATGTGTTCTATTATCATGACGGGTTAGGCTTTACAGCTCACTCAACAGCGCTGGCTTCAGAGGTGCCGGGTGGGGTGGGATTCATTCTCTCCGGAGTCAAATAAGGGCCGCAGCATGTATTCACTGAACAGCGACAGGTTTCTTCATAGGAGTAAAGAAGGAAGTATCTTTAAGGGGTACGACGTGGATGTCAGGACATTTTTAGAAGATGCTTTTTTTTTCGTCATCTAGGAAAGTGCTAATTGACAGTGCCAGTGACCACGAATTCTGCAAAGGCCGCCAAACACAAATACCCCGGTTCTTCAATCACTGCACTACCCGAGCCATCCCGGGCACCGACAGCTCCCGGGTCACTCACGTTTCCCCCGTTCCTCGCGGCCGCTGGCCTGTCCGGCGGGTCCCTGGGGCCGGGGTGGGAGGCATATGCTTCGTCCTCGGTGGAGCCAGGAACACAGCTGACAAGCCTTGCCCCCGGCACCGGGGCGCCGCCATTGCTCCGCGGCCGGAAGTTGCCTGGCTCCGATCCCCCTAGGGTCAGGGCGGGGCCATCACCAGGCCAATGGGGAGGCGTCCAGCGGGCGACGCACCCCGCCCCGGGAACCACCGCCTATGGGGGGTCATCGGGCCGCAGGCGGAGGCCAGACGGGGAGCAAATCACGGAGCAGAACTGGGGAACACGGCCCACCCCGCAGCGCTGATAGCCAATCCAAGGCCGGAAGCCGGGCGACCCGAAGACATTCAAATCAATTCAACCTCCTCCCTCCTCCCAGCCCCTCCACGAAAGAGAAAAAAGAAGGCCGCGGAAACACGGATCGGTGCCAGTCACAGCGCAAGGCCCGCCCCCATCCTGCCCGGCGACCAATGGCTCAGGAGCGGACTGATAAGGACATTCCATGGGGACGCCACAGCCAATCAAAAGAATGTTGAAGCGGGACGTTCCCAATATGCTAATAGGCCTCTTATAAATGTCGCTGCGAAACCGAGTTTCTGGTAGAGCGCGCAGGGGCGCCTCGCGGAGAGGAGACTTCTGCGCGTTTCGCGGCTGCCGAAGGCTCCCCACCTCCCCCCACTCTTCCGTTTCCCTGCTGCGCAGCCTTGTAAACAGGAGTAAACTCCGAGTGACGACCTACGTTCCAAACAGAGCCCCCCATGCCATGCCTGACCTGGCAGGAAAGTTTCCCCAACAGCCAACAATTCCCAGCGGACATGAGCCCTCCGCTTCTCCCCGGCGCTCTGGGCGGCCGCGGCTGCAGACGACGACCCACAGGTCCTCTCCCGTGCCAGGTTCCTCTCCAAGCCCCTGGTCTAAGCGCACGCCCCCCGAGCACAGCACAGATGGTCGACCTGCCTCATCCTCCCCTCCCTTCCCGGCTGTACGCACGGAAGAAAGCCCTGGCCCTCCGCTAACTACACCCGGCCGTGTCGTCCCTCACTCGGTGTCCAGCGCCGCGGGAGAGTCGGGGGGGACTGGGTGGGGGCGACCGGGGCCACACCGCGCATAGTACCGACCCTAGACTTTATATAACAGATTCGGGACCGGGTGGAGGCGGCTCCGGAGATGGTGAGCAGGGCCAGGGACCCCTCGTCCGCAGCGCCCTCCCAGCAGCCCTGCGCGTAGCCCCATCCCTGCGCCCCTCGGCCCCAGCGAACGCGGCACATCCCTCCTCCTGCGCCGTAGCCTGCGCCCCTGAGCCCCCTCCCCCGCAGCACCCCGCCTCGTCACTTCACTACAAAGAGCGCTTTGCTCGCGCAGCCTGGCATTGAGACCTCTCATTTCTCCTTCCTCCTCCGTGTCCCGGCTTTGCGCACAAGGACCTTGGAGAATCAAAGACGCTCCAGACCTTTTGTTCCTGCCGGGGCAGAGCCGCCGCCAGGGGCCCAGGGCTCCCCGGGAAGGGAACAGGACGACCCGCGGCCCCGCGGCGAGCCACGACCCGCGGGGATGGAGCGGCCGCCCCCGCCCATCCATCCCGCCGTACCTTGGTATTTCGCGTCGATCTCCCGCATCAGCGATACGTTTCTCTGCAGGTCGAAAGGCAGAGACTCGATGGAGTCCAGGTAGTCCTCCACATAGTTCACCAGGTGGATCTGCTCCCCGTTGGCAGGGCTCAACATGGTTCACCGAGATCCCCGGCGACTCGGCGCGGCTTTCCGCTTCCTCCAGCCCCCGCCCCCTCGGAGCCCAGCCCTGCAAAATGCAAACCTCCCGCCCGCCGGCGTCCCCCCTCCTGCCGGCCCCGCGCCGCTACATCTGCGAGCCGCGCCGCCTGGGCCCGGGGACCCGGCGCGGGCGGGCCGGGCCAGCGCTCCGCGGCCTCGGGCGCGGGGCGGGCGCGGGCGGGCGTGCGGGCGCGCACCCCGGCGCAGGGGCCGGGGCCGGGCCGAGCGAGCGCGGGAAGGGGAGCGCGCTGCCCGCCGCGCCGCACTTGTCCAACGTGGAAAACCCAAATACCAGTTTCAAACACTTGGGAAACATTCGGCCCCCCGCACAGCGCATGCGCTCCGTCACCCCCCGCTGCCCCCTCCCCGCGGGCCCCGCCCCCGCCGCATTCACGCCCCTCACCGGCCCTGCCTCGCGGGGGTGTGGCTTTGTCTGTCACCTTTGCCGGGGCGGGGGTCGCGGGGGCAAGAGGCGGCAGAGGAGGCGCAAACTTTACTATGAGTTTCGTACGTGGAGGCAGAGCCTGTTCGGCACCGCTGCATGCCTGCCGGGTGACGTGGGGTGGCAGCCAGACCCGCCCAAGACCCAGACGGAACCGGTCCAGCCGCAGGACCGCCGCCTCGAGATCATCGCACGCCTAGGCAGTCTCCGGCTTCTCCCACTCAGCCCCTCAATCTCTAGTGCCCACCGCGCAGCAGGGGTATATATACGTCTCGGAACAGACTGACAACTCCGTGAGCCAGTCCACTGCCGCCTTTATGTCAGTGGCCCAATCAACATGAAGAGAAGGCGGGATGAGGTCGGAGAGCTCCTCCAAGGCTCTTTACTACACAGTACAGTACTAGAAACCCGCGTCCTGCGGAGGGGTGGAGACTGGGCGGCCCGAGCGGGGCGGAAGTGGTGGCTCATGCGCACTTGGATGGCCAGGGCGGCCGCTGGCCCGCGCGGGACACCTACCCTTTCATGGCCGGACCACCACTCCCAGCAATCTCGGCGGCTCCCGCGCCTGCGCGGTCCTCACCGCGCTCCCTTTGTGTCACCGGCCAGAGCCCAGCACTGAGCGGTCTGGAGACAAAGGGGCCCGCGAGGGGAACTGCTTCCGGCCGGGCCGTCGCAGAGGGCGGGTGACCTCGACCCCTTGCAGCCTGAGCTCTGCAATCTGCTCTCAAACTCCGCTCCTTCACTTCGGGAAAGACACCTAGACCTAAGCCGGACAGGCGTCTCCGGGGTCCTGGGGTCTCTTTCTGTGCTGTCTCGGCCTCCCCTCCCCAGTGGCTCCTCTCCGCACCCCAAACTCCCAGATTTGGGGCTTTTTAAAAAGCCGAGGCACAGACTATCCCGTTGCCTGGACAACGGGCCGGCGCACAGGCCCGCCCCTTACGTCAGAGATTCCGCCTGGTAGGCGTGGCCACCCCGCCTTTGTCCGCCGGTCCCGGCCTGCGCCGCAGCGCGTCCTTCCTGGCCGCGGCCGCCCGACGCGGTGGCCCCCTCTTCCCGCCCGTCCTCCTCTGCAGTCCGCGCGCCCCGTCTTCCCCAAGGTGCGCGGTTGTCTGGTCGTCGTCTCTGTAAATTAGCCTCAGCCTCGTGACGTCTCTGCCGACGCCGGGCCAGGGCAGGGCTCCGCGTTTCCTCCCATTTATTAATTCAGAAGGTTTCACCCATTACTCCGGGGCTGCCCTGTTGCCATATGTGTTGGGCGCACCGTGTAGACATAAAATAATTACATTGCAGGTCTATCGGACGCAGCTCTAGGATTGAGATTCGGGGTGTTCGTGACCCAACAATGTGGCAATCAAGGCCTTTGGGAGTTTACTTAAAATTCCTACATGCAATCCAGGAATATTTCGGGCCAATCCAATTGTTGTGAAGTTGGATTGGGTATTATCCGCAGTGGTGCTCTTTCCAGCGACCCGAAGGGCATCTTGTGATATGATACCAGTACAACAAATGAGGCTAAATGGAGCTGTTCTGTCATTCGAAATGGATTGTTTACATTGGAACGTTTGTTACTACGGCGACAAACGACGGATAATATTTACACTTTGAAGTAAATGGGTTTGTTCTTCACTCTTATTTACATTCCCTCATCCAAGCCCCACATCTGGAGGACGTTCACTTTGATATTTGGGGAAATGACTGTTATTTTACTTAAAGATTCACACGTTTTCCAGTCTTGGCCCAGTTAAAAGCACATCACAAGGAAAGTTTCATTTCATACAACAAAATTTATTGATCTGCACAAGGACTAATATTATGACATTATGTGGAAATGGATGTTTTGCATGGAATAAAGAGAGTACAAAGTTGAATAAGAACAACTATAAATTTTCCTCTAAGCGTGCAAGCAGTTTTATTGTCTTATTTTTATTTTGTTGTCCTCACAGAGGATATTTTCCCATTGCTTTTTTTTTCTTCCTCTTTTAGAGGGAGTGGGAGAGGGAAAGATCCATGTGAGAGAAACAACGATTGGTTACCTCGGAACCTGCAAACAAGGTATGGGTGCCCTTGACCAGAATCGAACCCGGGACCCTTTAGTCCTCAGGTCGAGGCTCTATCCACTGAGCCAAACCAGCTAGGGCCATGCAAGCAGTTTTAAAGTACAACAGCAAGAGAGAGAGATAGGTTCTCTCTCTTGCATTCATTGGCTCTTGACCGAGTAGTGTTTATATGAACTTAAGGTTAGAAATCATTTATTCCTTCTAACGACAATCAAGCTGGAATTTGGACATGGTTATCTTTTCTAAAAGTCAGGATACTATCTGAATAATGATTGCTCTCATATTTCATGGACTTTACAGACAAAACAAAAACATCTTACTCATTCAATAAGAAATATTTAATGAGTATGCCTACCATGTTCTATCTAGCTACTGTTCTATGCCCTGGGGATACAGTAGCAAATAAGGAGCCTACATTCCATAAGACATGTAATTTACCCCTTTGGGTAAGAAGTCAGAAAATATTTATTAGCTTTATAAAATTATAAAAAGATATTCCTTTAGATTTACAGTGGTTCTCAACCTTCTGGCCCTTTAAATACAGTTCCTCATGTTGTGACCCAACCATAAAATTATTTTCGCTGCTACTTAACTGTAATGTTGCTACTGTTATGAATCGTAATGTAAATATCTGTGATGCAGGATGGTCTTAGGCGACCCCTGTGAAAGGGTCGTTCGACCACCAAAGGGGTTGCGACCCACAGGTTGAGAACCGCTGCTTTAGAAAACAGTGAATGACTTCACTGTTTTCTTAACAAGGTTAGAAGACCAATAGCTAAAATAATGAACTGTGATCATGCATTTGCAATACATATACCACTAAGGAAAAGTGTTTAATTTTGAAGATACATTGAAGAATCTTGGTTGTTTCAGTTGCTCTTTGGAGTGTAGATAGAGAGTAAATATATTTTTCTAAAATGGTATTTCTAGTTTAACTGAAGATGCTCATACCTAAGGGAGTAAAAGATAAGAGATAAATATATAATTACGTTTTGAGCTGCTTAAAAAATAAATCAACACATTCATTTCAAACTTGAAATGCCCATTATCTTTTCTACTTTGGATTTACAAGATTTTGCCTTGCAAGAAAATGTAATACTGAGAACTACATTTTTTTGTTGTCATTTAAGGACTAAGAAATGGCATTCATGATATTTTGGAATGATTTCTTTTAATACACTTCCTTGTTCTGACCTAGATTAGGGAGGGGGTCATTTCAAATGAACAAGATTCTCCTTTTTGGTATATAATCTTCCCAGTCACTTTTACTTTACCTTAATATTCAACCTGCAAAAGAAGTCATATTTTTAACAATCGTTAAATAATGAATTATGCTTGTAATTGTTTTGCTTCCCCCCAAAATTAAAGGTAGAATTGCTGCAAGTCAAAGGCTGAACCCATTGCATGACCAGTTTTCTTAAGACAGAAGATACATTGTTAATTTAAAAGTCATGATTTCTATGACCAGTTCAAACACTGCAGCTATCCAGATTGTGTGCAGGATTTGGTCTGCAATGTTATTAAATCTGTTTTCAAAACCTCCAGTTTTTCCCTTGAATTCTGTGTTCTCACAGATTGCAATCAAGCCTTTTGTTCATTTTCTTATTTTACTGGCACACCTAATAATTGGATTAGAGCTTCCTCTATCAGGTATTTTTTTTTTTTAAATGCACCTGGCATGTTTCATACTTTTTTTTTTTTTTTTTTTTTAAAGTTACTGATTTCAGAGAGGAAGGGAGAGAGAGAAACATTAATGATGACAAAGAATTATTGATCAGTGGCTTTCAGCATGCTCCACACTGGGGAACAAGTCCGCAATCCGGGCCCTGACCGGGAATCGAACCGTGACCTCCTGGTTCATAGGTCGATGCTCAACCATTGAGCCGTGCAGGCCGGGCTCTACCAGGTATTTTACCACCCAAATTTCTTCCCAGATGCACAACGGATTTCATCAGATTAATTCAGCAATCCTTTTCTGAATTTAGTGCTGGTACAGTTCAAGATTCAAAAGACTTTACAATCTAAAAAGTACTCAGGGAGAGAAATATGCACATTGTACTAGAAACAAGAGTCATTACAAAATAACACCGAGGTAAGGATGCAGGCAGTGAGGAGAGGACAATACTCCAGGAGAACTCTGAGTAGTCAGGGAGCATCGCTTAGCTTTGACGTGGTGGTCTCCTAATTCACAACAACAGGTTCTAACATTTTAGTGTTATGCATAGAGCATAATTTACATTAGGGTACAGTTCAGCTTGAAACAGTTAGACTCCAGGGATCTAAAAAAAATTTTTATTTTAATGCTTTAGGAACATACTGATTTGTCTTTCAATAGAATTAACAAAACAACCGCCCCCAAAGAACTGAGAAGTCTCCGTGCTCTTCTTTAAGGACCGCAAGAGCAAAGATTTCTGTGTGTTTATTTTTGTAACACTGTTTTGCAAGATATTAACAGGGGCACGTTTGTCGAGATAATTTGAAAGTAACTTCAAGTGAATCCGCCTTTAAAAAGTCCCACTGAAACCGTAATTCAGAATGTTTTTGTTCTTGAGAGACTAGATGATTTTTTAACCTTAAAATGAATCCCAAGCAGACGTTTCCTACCACGTGTACTGGTACTTGGTGAATGGGTGCTTTCCTAGCTTTGGTCTTTCACCCGGAGACTGAGACAGGCAGGGTGTGTTGGGGATGCAAACATGCTCCGGGTGAGCGCGTCTATCGAGGGGCAAACCTGTGTCCACGTTGGGGTGCAAACGTGCTTCGCGAACACGCGAGAACCGGCGGCTGGTCCCGTACCGTGAACTCCGGCTCCCAGAGCCTTCCCGCGCCCGGGTTCATACCACGTCCGCGATCTGCTCAGATAAGGGGGCGTCCCTCCCCGGGGCGGGAGAGAACACCCCTCCCCGCGGCCCGGGCACCGACGCCGTCCCCCCGGCGCCCCTCCCCTCCCCCAGCGCTCCGGCGGGCGCCGACTGGCCAGGCGGAGGCGGAGCCGCCGCTTCCCGGCGGCTAACCCGGGGTGGGGGGAGCCGGACCCAGTCCTTTCCGGGATGGGCGCGGCGGTGCCTGGTCCTCTTCCGGGGTGGGCGGGAGCTGGGCGGGCCCATTCCGGGGTGGAGGTGGCCGCGTCCGTCCCCTTTCGGGGAGGGCGGGGCCCGACCGGGGACCTTCCGGGCTGGGCGGGGCCGTGTCGGCCGCCTTCGGGGTGGGCGGGGCGCGTGCGGGGCGGGCCCTCCCGAGTGGGCGGGGCCTTGGGGTGGGCGTGGCGCGCTCCCAAGCTGCCCTGGTCCTCTGTTCCGGGTGGCTCGCGGGCCTGTCATGCTGCGAGTGCGCGGGGCCGGTCTGGGCGCTCGGCTGCTCCCGGCCTCACTGGGCCCGCGGCCGGGGCCGGGGCCGGGTCGGGCGGTGTCCGGGGCGCGCGGGCGGGGCTGGCTGCAGCCTGAAGGCCACGATACGGGCGTCAAGGTGTACAACAGCCTCACCCTGAGAAAGGACCCTTTAATCGTGGGCAGCGCGGACGCCGCCTCCTGGTAGCTCCCGGGGACTGTGGGGAGCGAGGTTCGCGGGGAGGCGGGCGGGGAGGACTGTGGGCTGAGCGTTTTGTGTGGAGAGCGGGGTCGGGCTCTCAGGTGGAAATCATTTAGGAAATAATAAAGTACATGGCACCATGGTATAGTCACAGTGAAATGACAGGAGTTTGGTATGAAGCTAGCAAGTCAAGTCATACTATATTCCCAGCTGTACATTCCACAAAAGTGGTTACTTAAAAAAAGAAAATAAAAAGACATGGTTGCCCGAACCGGTTTGGCTCAGTGGATAGAGCGTCGGCCTGCGGACTGATTGGTACCCGGTTCGATTCCGGTCAAGGGCATGTACCTTGGTTGCGGGCACATCCCCAGTAGGGGGTGTGCAGGAGGCAGCTGATCCATGTTTCTCATCGATGTTTCTAACTCTCTATCCCTCTCCCTTGTAAAAAGTCAATAAAATATATATATTTTAAAAGACATGGTTATATGATGATCCTAGTTGAGAAAGTGATATCTTCTCTTGCAAATTGTTTCACATGACGTATTTTAACTTTGTTCCTAGGTATAGCTGTGGACCAACTGTTTATGATCACTCACACCTTGGCCATGCTTGGTGAGTGTCCTCAATGGGAATTTTCATGTATTTGGGAAAGAAAAGCCTTTTGCAGGCTTTTTCATCTCTCAAGTGTCTGCGTAAGAATACTGAATAATTGCTATATTCCAGGCAGTGCGGGAAGCACAGGTGTTACAGTCTGATTTGGCTCTTGTAACAGTTCTAAACACTTACATGGATTTCACAACGAGGCAACCCTGGAGGCGATGAGAGCAGTGAAAGGACCCATTTTGGAATTAGATGTTTCCTGATGGGCTTAGTGAGGTGAGGCCTTCCAGTGGCCCTGGAATCGGCTGGTCAGTTCTTATGTCTTGCTCCCACTACCATATTTATTTACTTCTCAACTTTGGACAAGCCACTTTAATACTTTGAGTTCTGTGTTTTTTTCATCTTGAGATGGGTGATAACAGTATCCATTGTTTTGTTATTTTAAATCCTCACTCGAGGCTATATTCATTGCTCTTTAGAGAGAGAAAGGAGAAAGGAGGGAGGGAGAGAGAGAGAGAGAGAGAGAGAGGCAGGCAGACAGACAGACAGACAGACAGACATTGATGTGAGGACATCCATTGGCTGCCTCCCTTCCTGCCCCAACTGGGGATCAAACCCACAACCTAGGTATGTGCCCTGACTTGGAATCGAACCTGCAACCTTTTGGTTTTGAGACAACGCTCCAACCAACTGAGCCACCCTGCCAGGGCAATAGTATTCATCTTTTTGAATCTTCACAATTGTATGACATTGCTGCTTAACACAGTACCTGAAGTGTGATGTGTGGTGAGGGTTCAACAATTATTGAGGACAAGTAACCTACCAGTGTCACGCACATGGGATGTGTTGGAGCTGGGGTGGAGTCTGGTATATATCTGACCCCTGTGCGCTCTCATTTGCTCTCTCATTTGTTAAAATTGCCACGTTCCCTAATATTTTGTATGTTCTCTTGTACATCATTTAAACTTGTTATTCTTCAGAGAGACTAAAAGTAAAAAGTTACCTTTCTTTAGTATACATATAAAAAATTATACTATCTGCCAGCAAAATCTTGAACTTTTTTGTGTGTTTTTTTTATAACAAAATAAATGGTCTAGAAATCATTCTTTTTCCCCTTCACTTGGGGCTAACTTAATTATAAAAAAGCATATTTTGACCTCTTCATTGAAGCATGAAATATATTGGGGAAATATGAAAATGAATATTCTCCCAACTTGAAAAACCTCTCCATAAAGGCAGAAGAGAAAGAAAACAGTTTTATTATTTTTTTATTTTTTATTTTTTTTTAAATATATTTTATTGAGTTTTTACAGAGAGGAAAGGAGTGAGATAGAGAGTTAGAAACATCGATGAGAGAGAAACATCGACCAGCTGCCTCCTGCACACTCCCCACTGGGGATGTGCCCGCAACCAAGGTACATGCCCTTGACCGGAATCGAACCTGGGACCTTTCAGTCCGCAGGCCGACGCTCTATCCACTGAGCCAAACCGGTTTCGGCAACAGTTTTATTATTGAATAAGCATTAAACCAGAATGAGATGCACATGATAGGCGGCCCACTAAAATGATTGCAAAGATAGAAAGAAATTGTATTCCTTGTAGAGCTAAGTGGATGCCATTCACTAGTTAGGCAGGGCTTGCAGTGTTGACTTGGGTGATAGAACATTATTTTCATTGACTTCATTTTTAAGGGATGGCTTTCAGGCCCTTGAAACTTTCCTGAGTTGTCCACACTGACAGAGGCTTATTTAGTTACTAGAGGCCCAGTGCACAAATTCGTGCACGGGTGGGGTCCCTTGGGGTGGCCTGTGGGGATTGGGTTCCAGCTCATGCCCCCAGCCTCCCAGCCCCACAGTCCCACCTGGCACCCCACTGTGGCCTGGCGCTGCCCCCTCACCTGCTCCACCATCCCGCCTGCCTGGTGATTGATCAAGGTGGGCCCCCTGCCTGGCTCCCTCAGCGCCTGGGAGCCACCACTGGTCGCCGTCTGCAGGGCAGTCGGCAGGGCGATCAGGCCCCCACTCGCACCTGCCTTGGCCTGGTGCTGCCCGCTCACCTGCTCCACCATTCTGCTGCAGTCCCGTTCTCGTCAGGGCCCATCGGGCTGGCAGCGCCTTCCCTGCTGCCTGCTGCCAGGGCCACGTCGCAGATGCCCGCCATGTTCCGCGCTGCCCTGTGGTGGTCAGTGCATGTCATAGCGAGTGGTCAAACTCCCGGTCGAACAACCGCCCAAGGGGACAATGTGCATATTAGGCTTTTATTATATAGTATTAGAAAAATTTACATACATTTTAAAAGGACTGAGGAAATTCTGAAAGGAAGAAGGAGGGGGAGAGTCTCTTATTTTCAACTAGAGAATCAAGCCTCTAACTTATAATTTGTATTTGCCCTTACAAATGCAGAAAAGAGTACAAATCTTGCCCTAACCAGTTTGGCTCAGTGGATAGAGCGTCAGTCTGCGGACTGAAGGGTCCCAGGTTCGATTCTGGTCAAGGGCATGTACCTTGTTTAAGGGCACATCCCCAGTAGGAGGTGTGCAGGAGGCAGCTGATCGATGTTTCTTTCTCATCGATGTTTCTAACTCTCATTCCTCTCCCTCCCTCTCTGTAAAAATCAATAAAACATATTTAAGAAAAAAAGAGAAAAGAGTACAAATCTTAAGTGTACAACTGAATGAATGTTCATGGCTGTTAGATGGAGAAACACATTACCAACACCCAAGCCTCCTCTGTGTCCTCCTTCATCTCTCCTTTCCCCCACTCCCACTCAAGGATACCCACTATGGAAGTTTTGCTAATAAAATAAAACCCATTCCTCAAAAAGAGTTATTCCATTCAAGATGCCCCTTTGAGGCCAAAAACCTTAGTACTATAAGATTTCTGAAAAACTTGGGAGATTGGGGGTCAGAGATGGTAGGCATGGCTCCATTGCTCTTCCGGTAAAGTTCAGAATCCTAAAGACATCTCTGTTGTTCTACAGGTTTGTCCCTACTTAACTCCCAGGTAGCTACACCAGCCTCTATTTAAAAAAAAACCAATCGGCCCTAGCTGGTTTGGCTCAGTGGATAGAGTGTTGTCCTGCAGACCAAATGGTCCCGGGTTCGATTCTGGTCAAGGGCATATGCCCGGGGTCGTGGGCTCGATCCCCAGCAGGGGGCAAGCAGGAGGCAGCCAATCAATGATTCTCTCTCATCATTGATGTTTCTATCTATCTCTCCCTCTCCCTTCCTCTCTGAAATCAATAAAAATATATTTTAAAAAAAGATTAAAAAACAAAACGTATACTTCACAGGCACATAAAGATAGCACTCTTTATGTGCCACCACTGTTCTAATGCTTTAGAAACACTAGCCGATGTAATTCTCCTAACGACACCAGGTGGCAGTGCTGTTATTTTTAATTTTATTACATTTATTGGGGTGACATTGGTTAATAAAATGATATAAGTTTCAGGTGTACAGTTCTACAATCCATCATCTGTATACTGCATTGTGTGCTCGGTCACTCAAGATCAAGTCTTCTTCCGTCATCCCCTTTGCCCTTTCCACCTTCCCCCACCCCACTTCCCTCTGGCAACACCCTACTCTTGTCTGTGTCTATGAGTTTTTGTTTGTCTTATTTGTTCATTTGTTGCTTTCAGTTTTATGTCCCACATAGAGGTGAAATCAGGTTTTTGACTTTCTATCTGACTTACTTTGCTTAGCATATTTTCAGGATCCGTCCACGTTGTTGCAAATGGCAGTATTTTATCTTTCTGATGGCTGAGTAGCATTTCATTGTATATACATACGTACCACATCTTTATCCAATTATCTATCAACGGACACTTCAGTTTTTGGTTGTTTCCATGTCTTTGTCACCGTGAATAATGCTACAATGAACATATATCTTTATGAATAAATGTTTTCAAATTTTTCAGGTAGATACCCAGAAGAGGGATTCCTGGGTCATATGGTGACTC